CTCGCGTTGCCGCGGTTGAAGCGGAAGGAGGAGTCGTTCGGGTCGGCCTCCACCGCTGCGGAGAAGTCCTCGACCGCCTCCCGGGGAAGGGCCCGTTGATGCAGCGGCGGCCCTCCTGCCCGGCCCAGACCCGCTCGAAATCGGTCCCCCGAGCCCTCCCGAGGTCCATCCCGCCCCGTTCTCGACGACGAGCAAGAGTGACCCTGGATGAGAGTGACCTTTGGTGCGCGGCTTCTTGGGGGCCACGGGGGGACCGGACACAAGCGCTCAAGACGCCACTGCCGCGCCGCGATCGGCGATCGAGGGACCCCCGTGGGCCCGCACCAGAGGTCACTCCGGCGAAGGGCCACTCTTACGCGCAGTCGACGTACTCGAAGCGGACCCGGCCGCGGCGACGAGAAGCCCCCCGGAGGCCCCCAAAAACAGGGCGAAGCAGGCCCGGGAGAGCCGCCGCTGCCTCGGCCGGCCCCCCTCGGGCCTCCGAGCCGCGGCCCGCCCCCCGCAGGCTTCTCGAGGCGGGCCGGCGCCAGGCCGAGGCCCCGCCGACGGCGGGACCGCTGCCGGGGTGCCGCGCAGGCTGCGCCCGCGCGATCGCTGGAGGCGGCCGGGCCGCGAAGCCCGTGGGCCGTGGCGAGGAAGCCAAAATCATCGGTTTTACTAAGGTTTTGGCCGATTTTAGAAGCTCCCGAGGGGCGGGAAGGGGAGCTCGGCTCCTCATCCTGCTGCGGCTCGCCCTCCCCAGACCTGCTCGCGCCGCAGGTCGACAAAAAGGCGCGGGGGCCAGGCGCGGGCGCGCGCGTGGGCCCACGGGCGCGCGCGGCGCCAGCCCGCGTGCGCGGGCGCGGGCAGGCGCGGGCAGGCGCGGGCAGGCGCGCGTCGCGCCTGGACGCGCACGCGGGAGCGCGTGATGCACGACGGACGTTTCTAGGCCGTTTTCGGCCTCTGGGGTCCTCGCAAGGCTCCCAGACTGTGAAAAAACAGCTCGCGAGGAAGAACTGGCCCTGGGAAACGGGTCGGGCTTTCGGGGGCCCCGTGTAACATCAGCGAGGCAGAGGGGCCAACGATATACGGGTGCGATGAACGCAGGATGTGCCCCTCTCCTCATAGGTAGCGCGCCGCGAGAAGGATGGAACACGGGGCGGTGCGGTTGGGGGCTGCGAAACGTGTGAGGGGTGAGCCAAGGCGGCGGGCGCCATGCTGAGTTTGCTACTGGGGCCTTCCCTTCGGCGGAGCTCCCTATGGGGCCATGAAGCGCGCAAGGGGTGTACCGACATGGGTGCGACGCCCACATGCGAACGGTGCTAGTTGGGCCTGCGATGGAGCTCCCTATGGGGCCCCGAACCATGTGAAGGATGTGCCGAAAAGGGTGCGACGTCCACATGCAAACGATGACTCTTGGGCCTGCGATGGAGTTCCCTATGGGGCCCCGAACCGTGTGAGGGATGTGCCGAAAAGGGTGCGACGCCCACATGCGAACGGTGCCTCTTGGGCCTTCGTTGAACCTTCCTATGCGGCCACGAGACGTGTGAGGGGTGTGCCTACATGGGTGCGACGCCCACATGCGAACGGTGCCCCTGAGGCCTTCGGTGGAGCTCCCCTACGGGACGATGAAACGTGTGAGGGGTGTGCCGACATGGGTGCGACGCCCACATGCGGACGGTGCCCCCTGGGGCATTCGGTGAAGCTCCTCATAAGGCCACCAGACGTGTGAGGGGTGCACCGAAAGGGGTGCGTCGCCCGCGTGGGAACGGTGCTCCTGGGGCCTTCGGTGTAGCTCCCTATGTGGCCACGAAACGTGTGAAGGGTTTGCTGACATGGGTGCGACTCCCACATGCGAATGGTGCCCCTGAGGCCTTCGGAGGAGCTCCCTAGGGGCCCCGAACCTTGTGGGGGGTGTGCCGAACGGGGTACGACGCCCCGATGCGAATGGTGCCACTTGGGCCGTCGGTGGAGCTCCTTAGAGGGCCACGAAGCGTGCGAGGGGTGTGCCGAAATGGGTGCGACGCCCACATGCGAACTGTGCCCCTAGGGCCTTCGGTGGAGCTCCCAATGGGGCCACGAAACGTGTGAGTGGTGTGCCGGAGCGGGGTGCGACGCCCGTATGCGAACGGTGCCACACAGCCTTCGGTGGAGCTCCCAATGGGGCCATGAAACGTGTGAGGGGTGTGCCGACATGGGCACGCGGAGGGCAGAGGCAGGGCTTGGGGGAGCGAGGAGGGGGAGGAGGCGGAGAGGAGTGGACGCGGCGCGCTGTCTCTTCACAACGAGGACCCAACACCGCAGGACGGTTGGATAACATATTACAGCATCGCATGGCTGGGCCTGCTCTTATACCACTTCCTCTCTTCTCCGATTTACACCATGCCGCCCTTCCTACCCCACAACTTTCAATACCTACCCCGTCTCCCCCTACCTGCCTCCTTCATCGCGTCTGATACCGCCCTACCTCCCCGCACCTCGCTACATAGTATAGGATGTGCCCCTCTACCTCCTCCTCCGCACGTTAGGTAGTCATGCCTCAACGACGCTAGACACACCGTAACGACAATTCACGACGTCGTACAAGCCTTAGCGACACTGGTAATCCAGAGACACTGTTAGGAACACGCAGACACCGTGAGGTCACATTATCCTCCTCCCGCTCCTCCTCCTCCTCCTCCTCCTCCTCCTCCTTTTCACCTCTCCCTCCGCCTCATCTTGACCATGCGGCCTGGGTGCCGCGACAACACCAATGCAGACACGGCCGCCGAGCAGAGACGTCGATCGGGTGGGTGACGGGCGCAAGAGTACAGAAGCGTTATCATCAACCCGACCCTTCCCCCTCCTCCTCCTCCTCCTCCTCCTCCTCCTCCTCCTCGTCCTCCTCCTCCTCCTCCTCCTCTCCTCCTCGCCCATCTCAGCAGAAGGAACTTGGGATTTCTAGGCCCTTCTTCGAGCCCGTGCGGGCTTTGTTCAATCGAAGGGCTGACGCTCTCCGCCGAGGAGGGCTGCTATCCTGGAGTATCTCGGCCATGATTTTTGGGCCTGGGACAAAGTTTGGAGAGCGGGCTTCCGGGACGACAGGTCCTGTCAAGCTTGCGGGCACGATATGGTTTGCCAGCATCGCCGCCTGTGCCGCCTCCCGCATCAGGAGACGGCCAGAGCGTAGGTTGCTGAGAGGAAGAGGACTTCCAGGGAATCGTGCATCGGGCTGAAACCTCCTCACCCCCATCTCCAAACCTCCATGACCTCCTCCCCGTCCCCTTTCCATTCCCTCACCGCCCACCCCGTCCCCATCCCCCTCGTCCTCATCCCTACCGTCCTCCTACGTCCTCCTACATCCTCATCGGAGGCCTCCAGATGCGCAGGCATAACCAAAAACGACCACATGTCTCTGAAGACCTCCCTAATGCTCTTACGTACGTGCGCGTGCTTTTCCTTCACATCCTCATTCCTTTTCCGCCTCCTCCGCCTCCTCCGAGATACGCTGCTTCGCCTGACGCCTTGGAACCCAAGCGAGGAGGGCCGCAAAAGTTCCGATGCAGAACGGGTGCCTCCTCGTACCGCTCGAGGTGATAGTTTGCGAGCCCGCGGTTGTCCAAGAAACTGGCGGAAAGGATGGCGAGCAGGAGGATGAGGAAGAGCAGGAGGAGAAATAATAGTCCCACATATCCCCAGGAAGAAAAGAAGGACGAGGAAGAAGACCACGAGAAGGGTATTCACCAACTACTCCTGGGGAAGGGATGTCAATCTTCATTTGGTGCGCCGTTAGAAGTCGTATGTACGAATTAGGCGTGTAGTGTAATGTAGGTGTTTTTTTTTTGTGTGTGTGTGTGTGGGCAGACTTAGGTGTAACATTTTCCGAGCATGGAGTCGAATTTCCAAGCTTTTGATTCTCAAGGGTACTACATGCGCGGGGTAATTTGTCAAATTCCATGACAACGGTGGCGATAAGTTTACACACCGTCGATGACGGAAAAGCGTTAGTGGACTGAAGTGAGGATGCGAATGACAGCGGATTGAAGTTGACCGAACTTGTCTTTGCCTCCGCGGTCCTGGGGTCCACGGCGCTGGATATTCTTAGCGAGGAGCGCCCCGCTCGAACGAAGCATCGTAGGAGGCACACATCACCCCACTGACTTTGAAGAGTGGCGTGAGCGCAAGCCCAAACCACCGCTGGCGGTCAAACCTGCGAACGGTCGGATGGTGGCTGATTTGCCCACGAACTGCGCTGTCAACTGCATTGTTCCAAACTCGCTTCACCTCGCTTCCTTGATGGAGCGACGATGGGCCAGCGCGTGTACTGCAGGTTCGTGCCGTGTCGACCCTGGCGTTGGTTCCTGACACCGCGCTGGATCGTTCAACCTTGAACGATCGGCCGTCTCCGCAACGTCCAATCGTTCAACATCGACCGATTCTGGGCCGCCGGCGGCGTTCAACGTTGAACGTCGGCGGCGGGGTCGCCGCCGGTCGACACGACGCGAACCTGCCGTAGACCATGCTTTTTGAAAGCCAATCCGTGGCGAAGATGGACCTCGCGCTCCTCGGGCGCGCCGGCTGCCCCCCCTCTTTACGCGTCGTCGTCGTCGTCGTCGTCGTCGTCGTCGTCGTCGTCGTCGTCGCTCGCGTCATCGTCGTCGTCGTCGTCGTCGTCGTCGCTCGCGTCATCGCGCCACATGGAGGGCTCCTTTCGAGCATCCCCCCGACAGCATACCGTCGGGGCGTTGACCCAAGGAGCCCCAAATCAGGAACGAGGCCCCTTTTTTCCCACAAGATAAACGAATAAGGAGCCACAAATAAGGAGCCACAAATAAGGACGAGGCCCCCAAATAAGGAACGAGGCCCCCTCTTTACGCGTCAGGACCCACACGGAGGGCTCCTTTCGAGAATCCCCCCGACAGCATACCGTCGGGGCGTTGACCTAAGGAGCCCTACATAAGGAACGAGGCCCCTTTTTTCCCACAAGATAAGCTTCGATTTCCCCCTCTTTACGCGTCAGAGCCCACATGGAGGGCTCCTTTCGAGAATCCCCCCGGCAGCATACAGTCGGGGCGTTGACCCAAGGAACCCTACATAAGGAACGAGGCCCCCTTTTTCCCCCACAGGATAAACTCCGATCTCCCATCGAAGCCCTGGGCAAAACCAGAGGCGAACTGCAAAACAACCAAGGAACACCGAGCCCCTCCCCAACGAAAAGGGTTCCTTCCTCAGCGCCCCGACTGTACCTCCACGCCTCTTCCGCTTCCATGATGGCGCCACTGGCCACCCGCGCGGTCTCCCCTCCTCCTGGCCGGTGGCGCCGCTGGCCTCCCGTGGGACGGAGGACGCCTTCGGGGATCTGGGCGGGGCCAGGATCAGGGGGACGTAAGACCTGGGTACAGGGGACTCGGAAATCCCGACGAGGTCGTCAAAAAATGACGAGGCCGAGCCTGCATTTTGACGAGGCCTCCCGCTGCAGACATCCCACGAAACTCCTCCTCGTCAAAATCCGAGGCGCGGTCGTCAAAAAACGATGGCGAACCCGAGTCCCGGCAAACCCGGGTCTTACGCTCCCCCGACAGGACAGGGATACCTCGTTCCAGAGCGCTCCGAGACACTGTCAGAGCGTTCCGGAGCGCTCTGGAGCGACCGCAACGCTTGCTACACCCTCCAGATCCGCCAGATCTCAGAGATCCCCGATGCATCCCGGTCCCGGTTTGTCCCTGCACCGGCTGCATCCCGCGTGGGCCTTCGTTGGGATGGAGGGTTGCTTCGGGAAGCCTGCCCGCCACGTGCAGCTCCACACCGCGGAGGTCAGTTTTCGCGGGCTGCGTGGACCCTGCCGGCGGTGCCGCAGAGGAGAGCACGGTGGGTCGGACAAGGAAGCGCGGGACTGGCGCAAGCCGCCAAGCCGAGCGGAACGGACCCCCCCTTGGGCACGAGGGATAGGCGAGGGCGCGGCAGGGGCCACGGAGCCGCGCCCCAACGAGCCAACTCTCGCCCCCGCACGAAGAGGCGAGAGAACGGCACGATGCAGCGGGCCGCAGGGGCCGAGGCCAAGAAGCCACCCGGCGGGAAGGAAGAGATGGGCAGGGGAACGAGGGAGCCAAGAATCGAGGGAGTGGCGACGGCCCACGAGGGCCAGGACGAGGAGGGAGTGGGGGGATAGACGCAGGGAGCAATAGCTTGACATTACCCGCCGAGTCAAGTCCTTCCGATGCCATCAACGTACAAGGTCATGGAAGATATTAGCGCACACGCTGCAGCCGCACACACCTTGCACAAGGATCATTCTCGATGGCGCTCGCGAAACACTTCTTTGCCTCATCGAACGCGCCGAGCTCGATGTGGGAAAGACCTGCGTCAACAGGGCAAGCCATGCTTCATACATGAAACACACTAGCTGCAAACATCGGAAGTTGGCGAGGGGAGGAGAGAGAAATGGCCCCAACTGGGAAATCTGTTTCGGATCGTGTCGTGCGGGCGAGGTGAAGCTGCACGAAGGCGATGGTGCGTCGGCATAGCCAGGATCAAGTCGGACAGAAAATACCTCCGTGCCTCGGCCGCGCGGATGCCGCGGGGCTGTCCCCTGGGTTGTCCCGTGGTTGTCTCGCGGGTCGTTCAGGGGGCTGCCCCGTGTGGTGTCCCTGGCGCTGTCCAATACGATCTCTTCATGTGCTCCGTGCGCTGTCCCGTGGGCTGTCCCGTGGGTTGTCCCGTGGACTGTCCCGCGTGGTGTCCCATGGGCTGTCCCGTGGGTTGTCCCGTGGGTTGTTCCGTTGTTGTCCCATGGGTCGTCCCGTGGGTGATCCCGACGGTCGTACCGTGCGGTGTCCCGTGGACTGTCTCGTGCTTTGTCCCGCGCAATGTCTCGTGGGTTGTCTTCTGGGTTGTCTCGTAGGTTGTCCTGTGGGTTGTTCCGAGAATCGTCCCGCGAATTGTCCTGTGGTTGTCTTGTGAGCGGTCCCCTGGGTTGCCCCGGGGTTCTCCTGTGGGACGCTCACGTCGATATGCATCACGACATGCACATGTATACACAACTCATGCATCTCGTAGCATGCATGTGCAACTGTATACCTGCATGCCATGATACGTGGACCTGTCGTAGATCGTAAAATATAAAAGATTGGGCACGTAATGCACTGCAGCAACATACACACAACTGTGCAACAGTATGTCGCACACGCATGCAACGCATTGTACTTCATAAGACGCACCGCAGTGACATATCATCTCACCCCACAGTCCACACAGCACTGCTAAGTGGGTTACCCCAGTGGGTGCCACCACAATGAGCACACACACACGCACATCACCATCATCAACAACTGCCGACAAATCGTTCACGCTATTCGGCAGGTGAGCCGGCACATCATTAGCCACACAATTCCTTATTTGGCGGAACATGTGCATGGTTCGGGATACATTAGATTCCCAACCCGGCGCGAACCCAATCGTACACCGAGGGCTGCACCCACCACTCCGTCCTCTTTGTCACCCGAAAGATGGTGCTCGATGTGTAGGGAGTGGTCATTATTGGCCGCTGGGCTTGACAACAGGGAAGCGAACAGCGTGCACGATCGCCATCATCCACATCACTACTGGTTCAATTCTGCTATGTTCACGTGCTGATGGGGTTGCTCTGCTCTCCCTCCCCACTTTCACTTATCTTCCTTCCCTTTCCTCCCCCAGCCATTCCCCACCCATGTGCGTCTCGGTCGCTTGGAGCGCGCATCGGGCGACGTAACAGTCGACTTGAGAACGGCGCCGCAGCCCCGCGAGCCAGGAAGCTGTTCGATCGCTGGTGGCACGCACCAGGAAGGCCGATCAAACGAACGATGTGGCTGGGAGTGTGCCTCGCACGAGGCGGGCGCGGAAGAAAGATGGATGCGCCGCCAGCGCCCGTGCCCCTAAAACTGCGAGAACTACGGGCCCATGAAGCACGACGCGATATGCCAGCTGCTACAATTGACAACATGTTGTGGGGCCCGGAATGGGACACGTACACTTTGCTACTGCTGCGGGCGGGGCGCACAACCGCAGTTCATCGCCATGTCCGCGGAGACGAAGACCGTTCGGTAAATACGCGGGTTTTACTTGTTGCAACATGCGCCCCCCTTTTCAGAAGATGCGGGGGGCCTGGGTGTGAACTGACCCACCCGTTTGATGGCCGACTCTATTAGTATTTACATGCAGCGGGGATTATGCTCTTTTCAACCACAGCGCTGGATTGTGTTGCCCTCGATGTGCAGACGCACGACACGTACCATTGCAACTTAACAGCCCACACTGGGTACACCGTTCCAGGGTGCGCGTTGTTCTACCAACACAGCTTGGAAAAGACCGCCCTCACCATCGCAAAGTTTGATGTGGTGCAATTTTGATCGGCATCGATCGGAATTCATTGCATTCGCTGGTGCGAATTCTGCAACGCGTAGTGGAATGTGGAATGGCGAAACGCAAAGCTTCCACAGGGGCGCCGGGCGCTCTTGAGCCTGCATCGCAGGCAGACCAATCTAGTACAGAATAATCCCTCCTCTCTCCCTTCCCTCCTCCCTCCACCCTCGTCATCTTCGTCCTCCTCCTTCTCCTCCTCCTTGCCCCCGTCTGCAAACCTCTCCTGTTCAAACTGCGTGTCCTCCTCATTCGTTATCTGCTCCCTCCCACTTCAACTCTCCTGCCTCTTTCTCCCTTCTCTATCCTCTTTCCTCGCTTCTCCTGCCTCATTATCCCTCTTCCAACTCTCCAATATCACATCGGCTACACTGACCAAGTCGAGACACATACCAACCGATGATCGTAAGCAAGCGGTGTGTACGTGTGAAGGCATGCTCGCCTGTTCGGATTCATGGTGCTCCGCTGCCTCGTAGTCCCAATTCTCCCCACCCCCGTTCAGCACTCCTGCTCCCCTCTCCTCGTCCATCTCCTTCTCCTCCTCGTCGGCCTTCCCCTCTTCGACCTCCTGGCCTCTCCCTCCTCGGCATGATCCTCCTCTTCCTCTTCCGTACGAGCCTAGATGATTGTGAGCATCACCACTCGAAGGCTCCAAGTGGATCGCCTCGCGCCGCAATCATCGGCTCCAGGAGAAAAGACAGCGACCATAGTAACACGCAAGAGATGTGTCCTCCTTTCTCATGATCGTCGCCCTCCATCTCATTGGTCCTCCCTGTTTATTGTCTCCTAACTTCTCCTCCTCATCTTCCTCATCCCCTTACCTCTCTTCTCTTGATCACCCTTCTTCCATCCGATTTATCCGAGTCCTCCTCCTCACTCCCAATTTTCTCCCTCCCTCCTTTATCACGGCTGGGGGAACTCACTTCTGGCACATGGAATGCATACACACGGCTCGCTTTGAACCATCTGGCCACATGCGGCTCTGCGAATCCGAATGACACTGGCAATTCACATTCAACATACCGACCAAGCATAATGCTTACGTCTAGACAGGGGGGGCCCGAACCAAACTTGAGCGTGAAATCATATCTGGCCGCCGCATACTTTGCTCAGATGGAATCGCGCCTGCAAGCGAACGTCCTGCTCAAGGGCACAGTTCAAACCCACAACAACTAAACTGGCTCCACAACTATTCGAACCATCACTCGGCTGGCAAGATGACTTTCGAAATGGAAACAAGAGCAACGACAATGATGTATTGGAATCCCGGCACCTGTGTATTATTTACAGTCTCCCCTGGACAACAGAGTCGGTCTACATTTCTTTGAAGCAGCGCGCATCATCCAGGAGTATTGTGCTGATCACTGCGCCTTGTGATAGTGTGTGTGATGCTTATGGTGCAAGTGCTGCATGATTGCGATCCATTTGCTCCCATCAGACCCGCTTTGTGATAACATGCGTGGTCCGCCACTTCGCGTCGGCAGCGTGCGAAACCCCGTTACTTGCACCGGTTGGAACTTGTATGGGACAATGCTTATAACACCGTCCAAGCAGACAAGCAAACCAATCCCTTCTGCGTATGTCCCTGTCCACTTTCCTCAACACTACGAGTATGCGCAAGTTTCCTGACGGAGCCTGTGTCGACAACACCTGCACGATGCTGCATGCAGAGGATTCGTAGTTGGCATGCATGCTTGGAGAGAAGCCTGCTGCAGGCTCATGATCGATTCCTGCAACTTATCCATCTTTCTCAAGCAGATCCCTCGATGCAGATAAGCCTCGCGAGACATCACTACACGACAAGCGAAAAAGGCAATCCAACGGCCATGCGTAGGCCACTGATGTCGCTTATGAGTCGCACCATGTGATCGGCATGGGCATGTCAGAATCGACAATTCACTGATCGTAAAAGCTGACCATGGTATACCTGCAACGCCCACAAGAAGTTACTACGTCCAGTTGCATGCGGTGGAAACCCATCATGCATGCGGAGGGGTGGTGGCAAGCCTTGTACGGCGTCGGTAACCTCTTTTCAGCGGCCTGCAATTGCACGCGCGATGAGCAAAACATACTCTTGGTCCCAGGCATACAGGGGATCAACAACATATGACACTAAAATGGTGTCACGGTGAACATGCTAGCCTGGGAATGCCAGTGTGACGTGAACCTTAGGGCGCTCACACATCCACGTCTCTGAAGCTATCATCGAATAGACTTCATGCTGCGTGTCGGCACCGCTCCCAATGTTCTCTCACTTGCCCCTCTTCGTCGTCGTCGTCGTCCTCCTCCTCCTCCTCCTCCTTCCAAACACCAGGTGCAGAAAATTGTGTGTAATGCTCGCATCTGTTTTAGGCGGGAGACATACGAACTAATCCTGAACGCGCATTGCCGCTTGGTCCTAGCCAGGGTATCAGTAGGATGGGGACGGAGAAGGGGGAGCAGCACTATTGGTGGTATCAGCAGGATGGGGAGAATGTGGTAGGCGGAGGACATACATCCGTAGTGGTTTGCATCAATCTTCGGGGCGCCACTCGGCACGTGGCCCCGAGACGAGAGAATCTCCCAGTGCCGTGGGCGCATGCTGGTGCCAATCTTGCGGCCACCGAGCAGCCTGGCAGAGCACGACTCCTGCCTCGACGATCTGGGCCTCGGACTCGGACTCCGCACCAACCGCTCCATCTCGAACCATCTCCGGGCTCGAAGGTCCCCAACTGAGAGAGAGAGCGCGCGTTTCACGGGCGCCCGAGTATGAAGCATCCTCCGACACAAGCTTGCCCCTCCCCCCAACATCCCAAGCGGTCCCGTTCCCCCCTCGCTCTTCACACAGGACCCCACCTCCCCACACCCCCGTACTCCCCACACCCCACTTCCCCAAGGGGGGGGGGAGTCCCCACCCCCCTGGCGCTCGTCGTCGTCGTCGTCGTCGTCGTCGCCGTCGTCGTCGTCGTCGTCGTGGTCGTCGTCGCTGTCGTTGTCGTCGTTTGCTGGCGCCATGAGTGAGGGTCATCGTCGCCGTCGCAGTCGCCGTCGCCGTCGCCGTTGTCGTTGTCGTTGTTGTTGTCGTCGTTGTTGCTGTCGTCGTCGTCGTCGTCGTCGTCGTCGTCGTCGTGGTCGTCGTCGTGGTCGTCGTCGTCGTCGTCGTCGTCGTCGTCATCGGCGCCAGCGGTGGGGTTTGAACCCCTCCCCTTCCCTTGCGCGAGGGGGATGGGGGGGCGGAGGGGTCGAACCCCCGCCCCTTGCGCGAAGGGGGGTTAGTTCAGAACGCCCCCTTTTCGAGGAGGGGGGTGCCTCCCCCCAGGTTTCCGGAAGGGATCGACCTAACCAATGTTTTCGTTTTCGTTTTGTTTTCTCTCGTTTTGTCTTCGTTCCGCCTTTGTTGCAAAACGAAGTCGAAAAGGGGCCACGAAATCGCCCAAACACAATTTAGGTCGAGCCCTGATTTCCAGATGCCGTGGAGGGGCGGTTTGAAACCTCGCCGCAGTCGCAGTCGTCCCCGTCTTTCGTATTGAGTTCGCGCTGCGTTGCGTTACTCTGCGTGGATCCCGAGTGCACGACCAGCGGAGCGTCTGCCGAGAGGCGTGCGCGCCAGAGAACGAGTGGGCGTCCTCCTCCTCCTCCTCCTCCTCCTCTTCCTCCTCCTCCTCCTCCTCCTCCTCCTCCTCCTCCTCCTCCTCGTGCCGCCAGAGAACGAGAGGCGTGCGCGCCAGAGAACGGCTGCTGCAGTAAGAAGGAACGAAGCCCCCTTTTTGGCCCCCTGGGTTTAAGGCACACGCCGCGCTGTTCAGCCGTGTCTCGATGGGCTTGCTCAGCGTGGTCTTGCGTTTGGTGTCGGCGATCTGCTGCGAGACAGACGTGCGCAGTCCAGCGCACTCTTGCACATCCGGGAGGGCCTTGAGTGAGGCCTCCAACTCGCGGATCACATGGGACTGCTCGTCCACGTACACGGGTGGAGCGGCCAGCGTGGCTGGGTCCGGTTGAGACTGCCCCGCGGCGGCAGCGCAACCTCCGGCATCTGCTCCATTCGCTGGCGGGGAACGACCTTGGAGTGCGAAGGACCTCTTGATCCCGCAGTTGGAACACTTGCCCTTCTGCTTCGAAGTCTAACTCTCGCAAAACTTGCACTGCCACCACCAGTTCGCCCGCTCTGAGGAGCTTGCATTGCCCCACCAAGAGGACATCACTAGTGTCGATAATGAAACACTGTTGCAATACTTTACACGATCCGTGCAGTAAGTAAGAGAGACAGGCTGACGTAGGCTTTCAGTTTCGACTCAGCTTAAGACTTGAACAAAAATAGCTTGAGCCCAAACTCGCCACGTCCGTGGCGAGATCTAATCTGAATCCGCGGCGGGTACCCACTATGCTGGCCCCCCCAGCAGCCCTCGCAAGTGGCGACAATTTCGCAGATCGCAGCACCCCAGGGATGGCGAGGTCTAACCTGAATCCGCAGCGGGTGCCCACTATGCTGGCCCCCCCCCCCAGCAGCCCTCGAAAGTGGCGACAGTTTCGCAGATCGCAGCCCCCCCCCCAGGGATGGCGAGGACACCTGTCTGAATCCGCGGCGGGTACCTATAGGCTCGCCGCCCCACCCCAGTAGCCCTCGACTGTGGCGACAGTTTCGCAGATCGCAGCCCCCCAGGGATGGCGAGGTCTAATCTGAATCCGCGGCGGGTACCCACTATGCTGGTCCCCCCAGCAGCCCTCGAAAGTGGCGACAGTTTCGCAGATCGCAGCACCCCAGGGATGGCGAGGTCTAATCTGAATCCGCGGCGGGTGCCCTCCATGCTGGCCCCCCCAGCAGCCCTCGACTGTGGCGACAGTTTCGCAGATCGCAGCCCTCCAGGGATGGCGAGGACACCTGTCTTGAACATTAACCATGAGAATCCGCGAAACTCTTGCAATCTATAACAACGAATGTGCGCGGCGCTGGGGCGAGAAACACATTTTGAAAACGACCCGCCCTCAATCTGTGAAGCTCTTGCAAATTTGAAGCACGAATGTGCGCGGCGCTAAAGCGAGAACCACATTTTGGAAACCACCCGCCCTCAATCCGTGAAGCTCTTGAACATAAAAAACGACGAATGTGAGCGGCGCTGAGGCGAGAACCGCATTTTGAAAACGACCCACCCTCAACCCGTAAAGATCTTCCATATTATTACAACACGTCTGCGTGGCACTAAGCGAGAACCACATTTTGGAAGCGAACCGCCCTGCATGTGTGAACCTGTTGCCAGTTTCTAAGCTTCTTGCCCGAACATGGCAAGGACATCTCAAGCAAAACGCCGGGCCCGCCCTTCCGACTGGCCTCGGGGTGCGTCAAGGAAAAACTAGTCAGAGGGAAAGGGAATGGAGGAGGAGAAAGAGGAGGAGGAGGAGGAGGAGGAGGAGGAGGAGGAGGACGAGGAAGAATAAGGAGGAGGAGGAGGAGGAAGAGGAGGGAGAGGAGGAGGAGGAGGAGGAGGAGGAGGCGGAAGAGGAAGAGAAAGGAGGAGGAGGAGGAGGAGGAGGAGGAGGAAGACAAGGAGGAGGAGGAAGAGGAGGAAAAGGAGGAGTAGGAGGAGGAGGGAGGAAACATGAGACAACTCGACACTCGACCCTCGGTCAAAAGCTGCGGCGAAGCCTGCTGGAAGCCCTCCACGGCCTTATCGTACTGCTCCCTGTCGGTGTAAACCATGGCGCGCTGGGCGTCGCATGGGGGGCGGCCAGAAGAGAGCCCCCCTTCCGCCAGGTGCCGTTGGAGATCCCACCACCCTTCTAGAACGTGCGTGGGTTGAAGCGTTTCCACTTCCAACCCCATACATTACATTTCGGGAAAAAAGCTAGCCCCTCCTTCTACCCCCGTGGGTCTGGACGGGGCGCCCCGCGACCCCTTTGAGCGTCCAAGAAAGCTTAACGAACAGGCAATACACATGGACTTTCCCACATCCCAGGTGGGGTTCATGTTTTCTTTGGACATCCCGCGCAAAAGCAAAGGAGCGCACACACATATTGCTCGTCCCCTTCCTCCTCCTCCCCTTCCTCCTCTTCCTCCTCGTCCTCCTCCTCATCACCATCATCACAATCGCCATCATCATTATGATCATCATCGTCATCGTTATCGTCATCGTTGTCGCCATCGTCGTCGTCATCATCATCATCATCACCATCATCATTATCATCATGATCATCATCATCGTCGTCGTCGTCGCCGTCGTCGTCGTCATCATCATCGTCGTCAGCTGTCATCCGAACGGGGCCATCCCGAATCTGTAACTGTGGTCACTTTTGGCCTCCTCAATCGTGACTATAGGGGAGGTCTCGAACGGGGGTCTCGTCTGTGAGTGGACCGCTGGGAATTTTCTAGCGGGGACCTCGCCATATGGTGTCCCCACCCCCATGTTGGAGTCCAAACGGGGTCATCCAAATCTGGTAGCTGTCGTCACTTTTGGGTTCCGCAGGCCTGAACCTGAAGGGAATCTCAAACGGTAGCCTTGTCTGTGTCTGTGAGCGAATCGCGAAGACATCCTGAGCGGGAACCGTTCTCTATGGGGGCCCCCACCTCCATATTGAAATTGGGCGGGGTCGTTCAAAATCTGTCACAGTCGTTACCTTTGGGCCCTCCAGGTTTGAATCTGGAGGAAGTTTCTAGCGGGGGCCTCGTCGGTGAGTGACTCGCGATGAAGTCTCGAGCGGGAGCCCCTTGTTCTGGGCTCCCCGCCTCCACGTTGGAGTCCGAGCGGGGCCATCCAAATCCTGTAGCTGTAGTCACTTTTGGGCAGGTCTCGAGTGGAACCCGTACCTATGGGGTTCCCGCATCAATGTTGGAGTCCAAACAGGGTCATCTAAATCTTATGACAGTCGTCGCTTTTTGGGCTCACCAAGCCTGATTCTGGAAGAAGTCTGCAGCGGGGGCCTCGTTTGTAAGTGAATCGCGGGGAAGTGCTGGGCGGAAGCCCCCTCCCCATCGCGTCCGTCGAATTTCGCCCGGACGACGAACAGCAACGCGAAGGGCGCGGGCAGGGCCAGCTCCTTTGCCCCCGCTTCCTACCACAGGGAGTCTGCGGCTTCAACGAATCCCCGCTCTACCAGGAGGTCACCGGGCTGCTGCTACATACAGGGCGCCGAAGGCGCTGGCGACGACGGCGAAGCCGAGGCGCAGGAGAGGAGCTTGCTCATGTTCAGGCCCAGCGAGCAAGAGTTTACGTGGCAGGGCTCGGGGTCTCACGTCGCGCGTCGCTTGAGGTTCACTCTGACGCACGAGTCGTGCCCGCTTTCGCGCTGTCGCAAGGCCAGACGCTGCGCAAGGGTGTCGCCATCGACTGCGTCAGGGGCGAGGACGCTGGTCGCACGGGCATGTCGGACGGGCAGTGGTCTGCGCCTATACGACATGTTCTCCCACGCCACGTGCATGTGGAACATATTGATCCTGCGGCCGCCCTCGTGCGAGTTTCTGGAGCGCGGGCCGCTGGCCTCTTTGCGGAAGGCGCTCATGGAGTTCGAGAAGAGAGCGGCGACCTCCAGGGCTGAGACGGGGCAGCTCGCCGCATAGCTGGGCTTCGCGCTGCCTCCCGCCTGAACGCGGTGGCGCCCCGCTCGAGGCACGCGGGGTTATCCCAAAGGCCTTGCTCCCGCGCCGCAGCGGCTCGCAAGGTTGTCCCAACGGCCTTGCCTGCGGGGTTGCCCCGACGGCTTCGCGATCCGGCCATCGGAGAACGTGCCTCTGCTGGCCATGGCGGCGACGGCGCCACGGAAACTCAACCTGCGTGCCCCCGTCAGGAGGAAGGAGCGGTGCATGAGGAGAAGATGCAGACCGGGGCTAAGGAGACAGATAAGAAGGAGGAGGATGAGGAGAAGGAGGGGGAGGAGGGTGAGGAGCAGAAGAAGCAGGAGGAGGAGGAGGATAGGGACGAGGAAAAAGAGGAGGAGGAATAGGAGGAGGAGGAGGAGGAGGAGGAGGAGGAGGAGGAGGAGGAGAACGAGGAGGAGGATGATGAGGAGGAGGAGGATGAGGAGGAGGGGGAGGAGGATAACACAAAAAACGAGGAAGCCGAGAAGGATGATGATGATGATGATGATGATGATGATGATGATGATGATGATGATGATGATGATGATGATGGTGGTGGTGGTGGTGGTGATGATGATGATGATGATGAGGCAAAGCAGAGGGTGGGCGGAGGGCCTCCGCCAGGGAGATGAGGAAAGAACGAGGGGCAAACGACGCAAATCCTTATCTGGGGTCCTACCGTCGGAGCGCTGTAATTCTTCCCCAATCAGTGCTTGCACTGAAGGGGTCCTAATGGAAATTGAAAGATTTGGAAAAAAACACCCGCCGATTTTGGTAGCGAGCTGGGTTCCCAAGTTCCCGGTTCCAAGTTCCTGGGTTCCCGGTTATTGGTTCCGGGCCGATTTCGGTGGGTTCTGGGTTCCCGGGCTCCCGGGTTCCAGGTAGATCTCCTCAGCGAAAACCATCCACTGATTGAGATTTTTCTCTGGTGTAATCCCACCAGCCCTTTGGGCGTGAGTGGTTTAGCGAGCTCTCTCTGTCCTCAACCCCCCTTCTTCCCCTTCGGGGAGGGGTTTACCCCTCCCCCTACCCCCTCCCCCTGGGCCTGGAGAGGGGGTCCGGCGGGTCGTCAGGGGGGTCAATTTCGACTCCTGGGAGGGCTAAAAAACGACGACCCTCACGAGGATTCTGGCCCCGACGGTTGGGCGCAGATAAGTCCCTCTCCTCTTCTGTGAAGCCAAAAACATTGATTTTACTAGGGTTTTGGCCCCATTTTGGACTTCTGAGGGGGCAGCGCTCATCGTCCTTCATAGCAAAATCATTGATTTTACGAAGGTTTTGGCTTCATTTTGTCCTTCTCAGGGGGCAGCTCTTCTTTGCGCTTCTGAGGAGGTCGCAAGAGGCCCCAAGATGGCCCCAAGAGGCCCCCAGGAGGCTCCCAAGAGGCCTCCAAGAGACCCCCCAGAGGCCCCCAAGCGGCCCCAAGAGGCCCCCAAGAGGCCCCCAAGAGGCCCCCAAGAGGCCCCAAGAGGCCCCAAGAGGCCCCCAAGAGGCCCCCAAGAGGCCCCCAAGAGGCCCCCAAGAGGCCCCAAGAGGCTCCAAGAGGCCCCCAAGAGGCCCCACGAGGAGCCCGAACGACTCACACCAGGACGAGGGGCCCGAACGACTCACACCACGAAGAGCCCGAACGACTCACACCACAAGGAGGGGCCCGAACGACTCACACCAGGACGAGGCGCCCGAACGACTCACACCACGAGGAGCCCGAACGACTCACACCACGACGCGGGCCCCGAACGACTCACACCACGAGGAGCCCGAACGAGTCACACCAGGAGGAGGGGCCCGAACGACTCACACCAGGATGAGGGGCCCGAACAACTCACACCACGAGAAGCCCGAACGACTCACACCAGGACGAAGAGCCCGAACGACTCACACCACGAAGAGCCCGAACGACTCACACCAGGAAGAAGGGCCCGAACGACTCACACCAGGACGAGAAACCCCAAACGACTCAAATTACGAGGAGCGCTTTCTCTCCCTCCTCCTCCGCCTCGTCCTTCTCCCGCTCCCCCCACAAGGAGGATGTACAAGGAGGCGGGAGGAAGGAGGAACAGGGGAGATATGCGGGGCCAAGCGGATACACGCCTGAAAAACACGACTGTCGGCATGCTTCGCAAGAGTTGCTGCTGTGAGATGGGCTGGTGGGGATACGCGAAGCGTAAAGAATTAGCCAACGCGGCCCAGACAGCATCCAAGAGAGCCCCACGAGGCGCCCAATATGCATTGTAAGAGGCCCCCAGGAGGCCCCCAGGTTGTCCCAAGGAGGCACTGAAGAGGCCCCAAGAGGCCGCCAAGACGCCTCGAGAGGCCTCCAAGAGGCCCCCACGAGGCACCCCAAAAGACCCACGAAGGTACCTAAAGGACATCTGGCCCACTGAGTCTCCCCGAAGTATCCCGACGATGGCACGCTTCCTCGATAGGGGCAGCTCCCCTGGGCATCGCTCCTGGATGGGCTGGTGGGGATATGCGGAAAGTCAAACCGTTGTTCGCCGGGAACGGCGTCTGGGGGCCGCTCCAAGGCCCAGGGGAGCCGTCGAAGAGCCGGAGGTGATGGAAGTGCGGCCTGGCTTCTGGACAAGGGTGGACGAGGCCTCCTCCTTCTCTCTCCCCCTCCTCATCCTCCGCCTGCTGCTGCTGCTGCTGCCGCTGCTGCTCATAATCGGCATCTGGGTCCCCTGACATCGCGCCCAGCAACGCGCGACGGACGATTATCCTCACGCCCTTGCGCCGATCCCTGGAGAAGGCCAGCTCAGCGGCCCTGGCTGCGCCGCGCGAAGCGCGATGATCTGCGCGGTCATAGGGGAGCCCTGGAACCGTCCGGCTCAATGCTGATCCGCCTCATCATCAAGCATGATCCTTCTCCACCTCACAATTCCCCTCCTCTTCGCATAAGGTCTTCCTCCGACACGGCCGCTGGGTTGCAACCGCTGGTAACACCGCGCATAGGCGGGATGCGCGCAGAAATCATAATCCACCTTGTGTGGAGACGTGCATCAGTCTGAACATCTCAATCAAAGTCTGGCGTGCCCAGACATCCGACGATATTTCTTTTCCAATGCGCGGCCCCAGAAATCCCGACCCCTCCCCTAGGGGTGATCTTTCGGATCCATTCTGGAGGGCCCTGGGGCCCGACAACGGGCCCAAGAGGTCGAAACCTGGGAAAAGCCCGTTTACGGGCCCAAGAGGTCGAAACCGAGGAAAAACGCTAGGATTCGACAAATCAAATCCTCGAAAATCTGGGCAGCCGACCGTTGCCACCAGTGCACAGGCACAGGCAGCCCTCCTTTTCACACGGGATGGCGTGACAAGGGCGGCCCAGGAAGGGCTGCTGGGCGCGGCACCGGTTCACACGGAGGTCAAGGCAAAGTCCCTAGCACGGCCAAAAACCTCGATTCTCCAAACAACGCTGATGGGGCCGCCAACTCCCCCAGGAAACGGAGACCCCTACGACCCGCAAAGATGCCGAACACATCTTCGATCCTCTGCCACCTCTTCCCCTCGAACTTCGGTTTCCCGCTGGAAATCAACGACGAAAAGAAACGGATCTTACGCCCGATGGCATGGCGACCTGACGCGGTGGCTCACGCGGGCCGCCAGCGCGGCACACCAGATTGGACACGAGGGCGCTCGCGCGCGACCTCACGCGGGCAATCTGCGCGCGAACGCCCACACAGTCTGAGCCGTTCTTCTGCGTCTCTGCAGCCGTGGCCCCACGCTGGCCATCGCTCGGACGTCCATTCCCTGTGCCTTCTTCGGTTTCGTGCGTGGCTTTTTTCGCCAAAGGTCCTCGCCGAGGAAAAAACGCCGAGGAAAAAACGCCGAGGAAAAAACGCCGAGGAAAAAACGCCAATGAAAAAACGCCGAGGAAAAAACGCCGAAAGGATGCTCCCCGACGGTCCTCGCCGAGGAAAAAACGCACACGTCCGAGCGATGCCAAGCCCGTGGCGCTGCCCAGACCTCTCGAGGGTCGGAGAGGTCGAGCCTCGCTCCCTTCTCCGTGGGCGGTCGGCAGGCGGCCGGGCGCCTCGAAGTAGTACTGCGCGGCCATGCGGGGCTGCGCTTCGGCCTCGGAGGGACGCGTGGGGAAGGAAAGGGAGGATGGGGGAGGAGGGCGCGATGATGATGATGATGATGATGATGATGATGATGATGATGATGATGATGATGATGATGATGATGATGATGATGATGATGATGATGATGATGCTGATGATGCTGATGATGATGGTGATGATGATGATGATGGTGTTGATGATAATGATGATGATGGTGCTGATGATGATGATGATGATGATGATGCTGAGGATGATGACGCTGATGATGCGGATGATGATGAGGAGGACGATGATGACGATGATGATGAGGAGGACGATGACGACGATGACGATGACGATGACGATGATGATGATGATGATGATGATGATGATGATGATGATGATGATGATGATGATGATGATGATGATGATGATTGTGTTGATGCTGATGAAGACGATGATTTTTGTAGCAGCGGTCCATCGGATCCGACGCCTCCCCAGCCGGGGGACAGTTCTCTCCGGCCAGCTCCGCACGCAATCGGCGCACAGAGCTGATCAGAAGCCCTTCTTCTGCTTCTCGTTCGAGTCCTTCGCGAACTGCGAAACTTCTGGCTGCATCCCCTGGTCGATCCTCGCCAGGGTCTGCCTGCCGGCCTGCTTCCTCAGCCAGGCGCGCTCCTTTGCGAGAGTCTTGATCTTCTCTCTCTTCTGAGCGCCCCGCACGATGCATAGTAGTGGACCTCCAGCTTGGCGTCGTACCTGTGCGCGCGGTTCAGACGGAGGGCTTGATGTCCCAGTTGCGCTCCCTGTGCCTGCGGCGCCACATGCGCGGACACCTCCGTCTGCATCATCGCAACGCAATCCTCGAACCATTTCGCGCTCTTGGACTTCGGCGCCCTCGAGCCGCAGTTCTCGCATTCGTAGATCCTCGCCTCCTCCTTCGTCGCGTGCTTCGTGCCATTCACTAGCCTGGGCATTCGGAACCATCTGGTTCACTTGCTCCCTCTTCTTCGGAGTCGACGCTGGCTGCGATGGCTTCGCCTTCACTGCCGCCATGAACGAAGACGCTGCCATCCCTCTGGTAGCTGACGCGATCCCCTCATCTCATCGAGCTCTCAACGCCTCCGCTTCCGATGCCTGCGCCTCCTGGACGATGCCCTCCACTAGGCCGTCCGCGAGGCTGTTGCCCATGAAATAGAACGGGTCCGCGCTGGCTTTAATGACCATTGTGGCCGCCATGTGGCTCCCTACCTTGATTATCTCCACCTGCTTGCCCAAACCATCTCGATGCCGATCCAGAGGTCCACGTGTGACTTCGGGATGTTCCCAGCCTCCAACTTCCTAGTCCCTATCATCTCGTAGCTCGGGTCCGCTATGTACTTGATGTTTCGAAGCTCCTTCGCCTCCAGGAGCAGCTCCTTCAGCGCGTGCAGCTCGCCGCGGTTGACGCTTTGACTCCAGCCAGGTAGCCCCCCGCGACCCCCTGGCGCGGAAAAGGGGAGCTCCCTCGCCTCGTTTCAGCGCAATCCACGCCCGAACCACGCGCATCAGCCTCGGGTCCATCTCATGCTTTCCTCCAGACGCGTCGCCAGCAGCCGGGAGCCACCCCTCCCGGTCTGCGACGCCTTTCACCGATCCGACCCCGCGCGAATTCCACTATGACCTCCTCTCCGCCCTCCGCTGGTTTCGACGCCTCTGTCTAGCTCTCGGGTAGCAGGCCTCGTGGCCGCAGACGAGGTTGCGGCTCCACCTAGTCGAGCGCCCATGCCGCCAGGTCGGCCGACCTACTGCGCTCCTCGATCTCGTCGTTGCGCTAACTCTCCCGCATTCTACGCACCCGCGTCCCGCTAGCCATCCCGCACCTCGGGCGCGACATGATCTCGATGCCGATTCCGCAATCAGCAACGCGCTGTCTCGGCCGCGCTGCTCCCGTCATGGCCGCGAGGTTGGTCCTGCATTTCTCGTGCTTGCTTTCTTCTTCAGCTTCTTCAACGGACCCCTCGCTGGATTGAGGTTCGATCCTCCTTCGCGTCTTCCGCCTGCGTGGTGCTTTGTTGTCCCTTTTCCACTGCCGTCTTTCGATCGACTCCGCTATCGCCTGCCTCGGGCCGTTGGTGCCTCCGCGCGCGTCCAACGCCAACGGGTCGTCGCCTCAGAGGACCTCGCCGTCCTCCACTGCCCAGTGCCAAGAGCCCTTCTGCGCCTGGCCCAAGCCGAAGAACTTGCGCGCCATCGCCCTCGTGATGCCCGTCGCCCCTCTCCACCTCTTCGCCCCCCCCACCCCCGTGGTCTTGATGGCTTCCGCGTCGCCTGCGCCATCTCCCATCGCCCTTCAGTGCGAAGGTCGCGCCGTGGCAAGGGTCGCTGGCGCCCGTCTCTACCTGCGCGAATGTGGCGAGGCACCGACCGCGAAGTCCCGGCGCGGTGGCGTTCGCGAGTCTCTTGTCACTTCGTACTCACCGTGGGCGCCATGCAGAGCGCGTTGCGTGAGTGCGCCGCCCCGGGTAGAGCTCCTCTGCGCACCGCCGCTCGCGCTCCTCTAGGTGCGCGCCTGCCGCGCCTCAGTATCCTCAGCAGCCTCTCTCCTTCCGCGTGGGCGACCCTCTTCGCGTGCTTCTCCTTGCCCCAGCGATGCCTCCTCTCTTGATGTCCTCATGCGGGCGCCTGCTTCTTGTCCTTGGTCGTGATCGGCCTGCATTGCAGTTTCAGCGCAATCTCTTGCGCCGCCCATGAATCGTTGCTGATCGCCGCCGTCTTGGGCGACGCCGTGAAGTTCGCCTTCTTGGCGCCGCTCACGAATTCCACTTCAGCTGAAGTAAGCTGTCTGGTGACGGCCGCTCTTGGCCCTCTCATGCGCGCCCCCGCGTCGCCCGCCCGGGATCTCACGCAGACCTGCGGGGACTTGCTCGCGACCTTCTCCGACGCCGCGCGCAGTGCCACTCTGCCGAAGTCGATGTCTCGTCTGGCCCCCCTCCACTCACGTCGACATCCCTGGGGCTAGTGGCTCCGCGTGCGCCGTCTTCTCTCTGGTCGGCCTCGCGCTCGGGTGGCTCAGCATCTCTGGGTGCCGCGTTCGGGCTGGCATGCCCGGCTTGGCGCCCTGCCCCTGAGGTTCTGCTGTGACCGCGCCGAACTCTCAAAATGTATTCCTCAACTTCGACCCGCGCCCCGTCTAAGTTAGCGCGACTAGAGGGGGGGGGGGGGGGCGGGGGGCGGCGCGGGGGGGGGGGATTTAGCTCCTGGCTGGGTGGGTTAAAGGCCCCGTGCCTGCAGCGCATGCCACTGGCGTCTTGGCCATAGGCGGCAGCGGCCTGATTGAATTTTGGCAGAAAACTGAAAGGCCGCCCGCGTACCTATCGAGCGGGTATCGCGGGCCATCATTGGACCCGCCGCGTGAAAGACAAAACCAGATTACTGGGGCCATAGACAGCGCAGATAAAATGCCAAGGAGTCGGGTGTCTGTGTCATCGTGCGACCCATGGTGTAGGTGGTGCGTGGTGCACCCGCGGAACTGTGCATGAGTCTTACTATGAATCTTCGCAGGGGCTAGATAGGATAGCGCACGAGGCCAACGTGGAGACAAGGCGGAGAGATGCGATGGCCAGGGAAGGATGCAGAGACAGGGGGGCGAAGGAATGGAGAGGGACGGAGTGTGAGCACTAAGTGTGTATGTGGATATTGGGTGGACCATTGGAACCCACTGCCAGCCCCATGCGGGGCTTTGGCAGCGAGGAGGAGGAGGGCAAGTCCCGATAAGCACAGGCCTCGCGCGGGACCTGGGCAGGGACGCTTCCCCCCCGCGTGCACCTGGGGAGGCGCGCGCTTATGGGGGAACACCCGCACCTTACCTATGATGCGGGACGCCTCCTTCAGGCTGCCGTTCCACAGTGGGCCGCAGCGTGATGCGCCACAATGCGTACTGCAATGCCCCCGCTGGCAACCAACACGGCACCAAACCACGCCACGGCGTGGTCAGCTTTTGGTGCCACGGGGCAACATGCCCCGAGACCGTAAGTATCCGGAACGTGCCATGGGATACCGGCCCGCGCGTCACGCTACCCCACACGAGGCACGAGCAAATCTTATGACGAAGCTGGGCGGGTGGGCCCAGGGAAAGTTTCGCCAAGGCTCGAACCGACGGCTATGGGTAGCGACGGCGATGGTGACGACGGCGATGATGGCGATAGCATCGACGACGATAGCTCGTCACAAGCCGTGGCAATCTAAACGGTCGCCAGGAGTATCTACGTGATGGGACTGGTTGTTCTCCTAAGCGCTGGCGGAAATCGTCGTGCTGGCCCATCCGTTATCTTCTGGCTGCCACGGAATTCCTCGACGCCAGCCGGAGAATGTTAATCGCACCACAATGCAAGGCGCAACGGAAATGTAACGAAATTCGCTGCTATGATGGTGTGATGGCGATGGTCAGCTGAAGTTGTTGAGGCCAAGTGAAAATAACATCTGATTACCTAAGGTGCTCTGATGAGGCAAACAATCGTGGCACAAAACTTCGCCCCCTGACCGATGAGATTCCCGCATCCCTGCGATATCACCCGCCCCGCGAAGATCATACTGACAGGCGCAGCCCCCCTTTCACCTAATGTCAGTCCAACATCTTCGCAGGGGCTAGATAGGATAGCGCACGAGGCCAACGTGGAGACAAGGCGGAGAGATGCGATGGCCAGGGAAGGATGCAGAGACAGGGGGGCGAAGGAATGGAGAGGGACGGGGCGTGAGCACTAAGTGTGTATGTGGATATTGGGTGGACCATTGGAACCCACTGCCAGCCCCATGCGGGGCTCTGGCAGCGAGGAGGAGGGCAAGTCCCGATAAGCACAGGCCTCGCGCGGGACCTGGGCAGGGGCGCTTCCCCCCAACGCCGCTCTCACCCCTCCTCTTCGCATGGCTCTGACCCACGCCCAGCGCCGCCCGCAGAGGCAGCGGAGACGCACGGGTGCATAGAGAGACCGGCGCGAGGGTCTGCAGCAGACTTCCAAGGCGCACGCACGCGCACACACGACTGGTAGCCCGCACGTCCTTTCAGGGGCGATTTTCGGCCACGTCCGCAGGACGCAGGTTTATGTTTATGGAAGGCGTTTTGTTGCTCCCCCTTGCCGCATTTTCCTCCGCCTCTCTCCTGTGGTCCTTTGCCTCTTTCCCCGCCACTTTTCCCCCCCCTGCTCTCCTCGGCCTCCTCGATGGGGTGCCGGCCTCGTGGCGCCGAAACGGCGGTGAGGCCCGGGTCTGCGCTTTGGGCGGAGCTGCGCGCCCGTCGGCTGGGAGTCCCTGGAGGTGCTCAGAGATCGGGGGGGCGGGGGAGGTAGTGGGTCTACGGAGGCTACGGAGGAGGAAAGGAAAGGATGCTTGAGTTTTCTCTGGGGGCAAACTCTCAGGACATGCAGTCTCGCTGTTTTCCGCCCAGCACCACAGCTGCTGGTGCGTCAGGCGGGAGAGCGGGGCAGGAAGCGCTGGCTGGCGGAAAATCCAAAAACCACCTGCCAGCATCGAGGCCACGGTGGGGTCGTCCAACGCGTCCCGGGACAATGCGTCCGCGGGGTTGTCGGCGCTGGGGACGTGATCGAACCAGCATCTGCAACCCAAGGCCGCCAGCAGTGCCAACGCCTGTAGCGCCAAGCGGCGCATCGTGGCTGTCGGAGAGCCGGCTTTGACCAGCGACGTGGCTGCAGAAGTGTTGCCCACCCGCCAAATGACATCTTGGCCGCGCAACTCTTTGGCAAAAGTGGCCGCCACGAGGGCGCCACGTTGGAGCTCTGCCTGATTGATGACTGTGTCTTGCGGGCCCCAGGTCTCGCGAAGGCACTGGTCCGCATCCAACACAGTCACGAACGTGCGGCCATCGGGGAGAATCACTTTGGCGCCCAGCCGAACGCGGTCTGCGTCAGCAGCTGCGTCGGTGTAGACGCGCACTGGCGGGGCGGTAGGGCGGATAAGGGAACGCACACCTATCAGGCATGCACCGCGCAGCTGCCGCGATATAGTGCAGCGATTCCCATACATTGGACCCAACAGTGACCTCTTCGCTCCAGTCCCAGTACTGTCGAGCAGTAAGAGCATGCCCAGCCGCCCGAAGGCATCGGCCCGCGAGAGCCGCGTCCATCCACGTTGCCAAGCCGCGCATTTTTGCCGCAGTCCCAGAGGAGAGGCGCCCCGACTGGACCGCGGCCATGCACATCTCGACCAGGCGCTCGCGGGTGTGCAATTTCGGGCCCCACGTGGCACCCAGCGCATAACACGTGCGCACGAGATCATGGAGGTGGCCCAGAAAATTGAACATGAAAGACGGCGGCCAGTGCTTGCTAGCGGAATATTTACCTCCGCTGCACACTGCAGACTCCTGCACGATGTTGGACGCTGACCAGCGCAGGCCCGCCAAGCAGCTGAGTTCTACGGTGGGGCTGTCGTCGGCGTAGTGGCCTGTGAGCGTTAGCAAGATCCGGCGATTGAGCGCCGTCACAAACCCGGCCGCGCGAGTGAATTGATTGACGGCGGAGCCCAAGCCGAAAGGGAGCCCGCGAAGCTGCGCGTACAGCCACGACCGCGTCTCGGGGCACATGACAGCGACTACTGCCAACCCCATGTGTTCGCTCGTCGGGAAGAGCTGTCGGTAGCCTTTCCACCAATCTTCGAGCGACACCATAGGCTTGAACCAGGGCGGAATGCCACCGGACGCCTTGATGAAAGACAGGGCCATGCATTTCAAGAGTATGATGACGAACTCCGGCGGGATGCACACCGCCGTTTCGTGAGTCGAGGACAGCGCGTTCGTGCGGGAGCGTTTTCCGTCATCGATGGGCCGCCATTTGTCCGCCTGCCAGATGACATGGCGGACCAGCGGGCGCCATCTGCCTGCCCCGTGCAGGCTGTCCATCTCGTCCTTGGTGCGCATCGGGTCCGCTATGCCTTCGGAGATCTCGGCAAGCGTAAGATCCCAGGTGGCACCAACGTTTTTGGACGGATGGCGCATGGCCTCAACTGCCGCAACGCACCGACAAGCATCGCCACCAAAAACCTCTTCCCCAGCTTCTGGTTCGGGGCCCTTGCCAATGTGTTTCGTGGCAATAGGGCGCAAGATACCAGACGGGGGGATAGCGCCTGCGAGCTCGAAGCCGAGTGCCGGGCGCGACGGCAGGCCTTTGTCGGGCCAACCCATCAGAGCGACCATAAAAGCTATGTGCACGGGTCGGACGCCAGGCGCACCCTGCAAACGCACGTGCCTCTGGGCCAAAACGCGCTCGTCGAGGGGCGACAAAATCCGAGCGACACGCAGCACAAGCCGCAATCGGGCACGGCGCAGGGATTCGATACGCGGCCCATTCGCGACATACGCGTCGACAACAAACTGGAGGTCCGACTCCACCAGCGGGTCGCGCGCAAAAGGGTGCTGGACCAGGGCCGAAAGCTCCTCGTGCCGCTGCGGCCCGACCCCCCAATCGACGAGATTTTGGGCCGCCAGCTCCGAGGTGGACGGCTTGTGCTGATGTGCCGCGGAAGCGTGCATCGGCGACTTCATCCACAACGCCTGCACGTCTGGCCCAAGAGCGCCCATCCGGCGCTCCAGACTGCAAAGCGTAGGCATGAAAATCGTAAAATCGCGCGAAGTCCAGCTGCTGCAGTGCGCGCAGCGCGTCGGCAACAGCATCGGTCCAATCACTGAAAAATCGTGCCGGAAATTAGCTGAGAGCCTCTTCAAACAGAGCAGCCCCGGACCGAACCATGCCTGGAGGGGGGCGCTCATCCGAGCACCGAGCTGTGTTTGAGACGTGCGCCTCCTGCCGAACTTTCGCTGGTCCTGTCAAGGCCGGCGCCGTGGGCAAAATGCCACTCCCTCCAGCAGGATGCAACAACAGCGAACGCAAGAGAAAAATTGACGGGACATGGAACGAAGTGCCGATAACATGCCGGCGAGCGTGCTCGCCGGTCAGGCCGGAGCCGGAAGCAGCGCGAAGTGGCATAAAATACCCGGGCGGGAACCCCATCAGGGTCTCGCGCTCGCTCGCTGTCAGCTGCCGCATGCCCCGGCCGTCAGCACGTTCCAACATGTTGCCCCGGACGTATGTTGAGATGGGCTGCACGCGCCCGTCCGCCACGAACCTTTGGTACGCATGCCGATCCTCGGCGGCGGCCCGAGGAGGGCGATCCGCCCGGTGGGGGTAGACGGCCGTGAAGGCCAAAAACCTTCCGTCGGCATGCGTGGAACTGTACCTGGTACCAGGCGGCACCATGGACCTGCGGCCGATCTCATCCCTGAACGCCCACGCATCGCCATCATCTGGTTGCCAGTCGGCGGGGACCGGCGGACCAGTGTATCGCACGACGGTGAGGGATTCTGCTGCTAAGCCAGGGGGGGCCACCTCAGCGGGACCGGGGGACGAAAGCCTACTCAAATCGAGGCCCCAATAAAGGCGCGAGCGCTGGACCCAGCCCCAGTCCGCCGCGTTGACCAGCGCCGGCTCGCAACCAAGGAGGTCGCTGATCTGGCGCCTACGTGCAACGCTCACGCTGGCCATTTCCTCAAGAAGCCAGTGGAAAACTCGACCGTCGGCACGGGAAAGGCCGGCGCAATGGCGGTCGCGAAGTGAAACAAAAGCGTGTAAAGCTGCGCAGTGATCATCATCGATCCCGCCAGGGACTGGCGCACGACCATCAACATGAAGACGAAGCGGGCCAGCTATGAGCAGCGTGACGTCAGCATCGGCATCGCGAGCGAAGCGGAGGGCCGAGTCAACGTCGAAATCTCCAGCCCTGTCGGGCGCAACGGTCCCTGGGAAGGTCTCGGACACGAAATCGCGCAGCATGGCCGCCGGCTCGACGATGAACGAAGAGACTTGGCCAGTGTACGCGCCTACCGCCCCCCCCCCCCCTACGCCGTCGCAAATACTCACGAGACACACCGACACCTCATTGCCGCCCCCGCCCTTGGAAGGCAACGGGGCGACCGGCGACGGCGACGGGGAAACGTGAGGGCGCGTGGCTCGCGGGGGAGGGGCACCAACCGCCTTCGCGGACCGTGCCGCTACTGGAGACCGGGACCTCCGACGCGACGCGAGGCCTGGGCCAAGCGACGTCGAGGCGCGCCCGGCTGGCCTGGCCTGCGCCCCGGAGGCGGCGGCCGTGGGGCCCCTCGGCAAGGCTCCGATAGGCTGAGCTGGTGGTACCTCTATCCTCGCTCCCTCCGGTTCCCCTCCTGTTCCTGCTCCTCCGCCTCCTCCCCCTCGTCCCCCCCCCATTCGCCCTCCGCCCTCTCTACCTCGATCGAGGGGCCGGCCGTGCGACGCCGAGGCATCGAGGCCTTGGGCTGCGCCGCCGAGAGGACCGGCAGCGCCCTCGGTCCTGGAGGTTTTTGGGAGGTTCCTGAGGTCGCGGGGAGGGGCGGGGAGGGCGGGGAGGGCTGGGGGAGGTCGAAAGGGGAGGAGTAGGAGGAGGCAGGGAGATGGCGGTAATGATGGCGGGAGTGGTGGTGGTGGTAATGGTTGTCGCCGACGCGGCAGCGGCGCCGCTGCCGTCACGCCGACCAACGGCGGCATCGACGTGATGCTGGACTTCTTCCTGCAGCCTCCCGGACGCGCGTCCATCAACGCCCGGGGGGGTGCCCGTCAACGCTCGGACTCCTCCTTGACCGCGGTGGCCATCTTGCACTTGAAGGCAGGGTGCCCGAAGAGCCCGCACCGCTTGCACACGTGCAGCTTCTTGTGCGGGCACTTCTTCGGGTTCTTGACGCAGCCCTTGCGCTCGTTGTTGTAGTCTGGGCAGGCCTTCGCCTGGCGCTTCTGCTGCTGCTTGGTCTTCTTCAAGACGCCCCCTCCCTTCTTGGCGCCACCGCCGCCGGGCGCCTTCGAGCGGCTCGCGGGCGCATCGTCGGAAGCCTCGTCGCCCGGGCCCGTGAGCTGGACGTTGCCCTGGGAGACGCCCAGGCCCGTGATCTTCCATTCGAGGACGAGGTGGTGTTCGAGGGCGCGGATGATCGCCTCGCCCCACGGGAAGCCCTGCTGGAACAGCGTGCGCGCTTTGTTCCGCGTCTGGCGGTCCCGGTCGACGATCCAGGCGATCTTGTCTGCAGCCTTGCCAGGGAACTCCATGGCCTTAGACAGGAGGAAGTCGCGGTAGCGGATATCCACGGACAGGTGGCACTGGCGCACCTTGATGGGGGAGCCGCTCTGCTTGTCAACCTGCTCCTTCGACTCCACCATGGCCGCCCCGCACTGGGCCCAGAGGTTGCACATCGCGCCGACGGCCTGCAGGACCTGCAAGATCGTGGAGAACCGGAGGTCCTTCAGCTTGGCCTCATTGTCGTCGTCCTTGGTGATGTGGTAGCCACCCCCGAGCGGAGTCTTGTCCAGTCTCTTGGGGGGCCCTGGAGGTCGGCCTCGGCCCGCATCTTCTCCAGCCGGAGGACGGTGGTCGCTCTGCTATCAGAGCGCCACTCGCGGAAGGTCCTGCCGATGAGCGTCTTGATGGGCATCGACCCGCTCTCGAAAGTGAGCTTGTCGTACGCGTCGTCAAAGTCGTCGGCGCGAATCTTCTCCTCTCCGGCCGTCAGGGGCGTGTCCCAGTCTGGACCCGCGCACTCGCCGCCCTCCGCCCTGCGCTTGAGGGCTTTGGTGAGCTCGGAGCGCGCAATGGTCCAGGCCACGCGAGTGCGCGCCACCTCGAGGTCGTCATCGTGGTGCGCCGCGAAGCCGAGAACGACCGCCTCGATCTTCGCCTCGTAGTTGCTGTCGGTGTAGAGGCCGGCGAAATCGGAGATGGCCGTGCACCCTTTGCCGGCGGGCTTCGGGTCGGTGTACAGCTTGATGACGTCTTCGCTGACCGACGTCTTCCACATGAGGCTCACGAGGCTGAACCGGGGGGCCTTGGCGTCAGAAAGGGAGGCCGACAGAGCGTCGACCTGCATCGACTGCGCCATGGCGGGACCTGCTGGCTGTCAGCTGATGGCGAGAAAGGCCGCGGAGGGCCCGTGGGGGATCAGATGCCTGAGCACTCGAGCCCCGCGCCGGCGGTCGGCACGCCGCGATGGCCTGGAGCGGCGCGCCCAAACGCGGCGGAATCCCGTGCGCACTTTTCTTCAGAAATCGCGTCGCCGTGTTTCTGTCGCCCGTGTTACTCCTTATCGACCGCTGCCGGCGGAAGCCGTGACAGCACGCAAGGCGGAATTTGGCTGTACTGGCCTATCCGCCGTTTTGGGCGTGCCAGCCCATCCCTTTCGCGCTGCTCCCCGGGGGCTGAAATTTGGCAGGGCATGCCGTGCAATGCGTGGGATGGGCACGGATATCCGCGGCAAGGGAGGGGCGGAAATGCGGGCAGTTATGCGTTCTCCTGGGACGCTGGTCTGAGCACCGTCGGCGATGTACCACGGCATGCGCGGACTAGCGAGGGCCCGTTGTGAAAGCCGGCGGACCTCCGGGACCTCCGGGACCTCTCCACGCAACGATGCCGGTGAGCCCATGGAGGGGCAGCAGAGGTGCACAGAAAGGCCGGCTACGTGTACGCACCCACCCACCGACTCACTCACTCTTCCACAGGAGCCAACCGACTCATGGGCAGAAAACTGTGTACACAGTTTTGACTCCACGAGCGGAGCACAAGGACACGAAAAACATACGTCTCGTTCCCACCTTGGCGGGTGGCCAGCGCGCCCTTGGAAGTTCTCGGCGAGTTCCCGGGGCAAGGGAAAAGGAACGAATTTCCCTCTCTCTGGAACGGTCCCGGGGCCCCGGATTATGGGCCGAATCCGTGGGGCAGGGTGCCGCGAGCGAGAGAGAGGTTTCGTGACAATTTCGTGCCCGTCATGTGTGCTTGTGCCGGCGCGCCTGAAATTGCGCCGCGGCGAAGGCATCTGCCCCGGACTCGGAAGATGCGAATTCAAAGGGATCCGTATCATCTGGGGCGGCCGTTCCTTTGGGCCTCCGGAGGTCGCCTGAACAAGCGGGGCGCCCCCGGAAGGCTCTCGGCGGGGCGCGGCCGGCGCAGAAGGGGGGGGCGCCCCTGGAAGCAGAGGCGAGGCACGAAGGGATCAGGGGGCCCAGCGACTACAAGTGAGGTGCATTTTTCCACAGTAGCAGGGCCAGCACAGATGAGTGGTAAGATACGCCATGTCCGACAAATCGCAAGGAATGCAGATTTTGAGCGCCGCAGGAGGCGTCGGGAAACAACGGAAGAGGCACTTCCAGAGTCACGCGGGAGGGAGGGGCCTCATGTGAGCGCCTCGGCGCCCACGAGGGCGCACAAACGGGTCTGGCATCGCGGGCACCAGGGTCGGCGGGTAACGCTCGCCGCTTGGAGCCCCGTGCCCGCTTCGCATCCCCATTTAAAGGGCCAGCGGCGGCAGCACGAGGTCGCCTCGCCGTCATCGTCGTCGATGTCAGGTGTAGGCGAGACCGGGGCCCGTGCGGAAGCAGCCACCGAACCTCGCTCGGATCGAGCGCGCCCGCGCTGCTAGCGGAAGGGTCCGCGCTGATCGAATCGGACGACGACGAGTGGCTGTCGCCAGAAGGGATGCCGCCAGCATGGGGAGCATCATCGGGCTCCGCGAGCGCGGCAATGCCAGCGTCTGAGACCGGGGTCTCCGCGCTGGCCGCCAGGCCCCAGGCGTCCCCTAGCACCGCCCGGAAGAAAGCCTCGGGCTCCTCGCCCGTCCTGACGTGCTCGTCGCTGGAGGCGTTGGCGTCCAATGCGCGACGAAGAGCGTGCAGGCACACCCGCCGCGCCGACACTGAGGTC